CGGCCCCCCGCGGAGGGGGGGCCCGGGGGGGGGGGGGAGAGGCGGCGTGCGGGCACCCATCGCCGGTGCCGGAGGAGCGGGATGCGCTTCGCCCTTGCCGCACCCGAAATCCGGGGACCGGGAGCGGTTTGGGGGGACACGAATGCCCCGCGGGAGCAAACCGGGACCCCCCAGCCCAGCCGCTTCCGTGGCAGGCTCGGGGGAATAGCCCGGGACGATGCTCAGAAAAAAAGGTGGTTATTTAAAAATAAATAAAAGGGGGGGGGGACACAAAATATTTTAATATTTAAACAGTTCGGGAATGGCTTAAGTTATTTTTAAAGAGAAATCTCGTGCTAACGTCTGTCTTCCGAGAGTGCCTCCACCCGCGCCAGCTAAGCTACGGCGAAGCAGAATGCCTGTTTTTTAGATAAATCGACAACGCATTTTAAAGAAAAAAAAAAAAGGAACTCTTTACTATTTTTTAAGAGAATGATGCTATTTTTGTAAAAGCAGAAAGTGCCGTTTTAAGAAGTGTTCATATGTGTTGTACAGTCCTGAGGATCTTATTTATGTTGCCTTATATAAATAGGGGCGTACGGGGGAAAAAAGCGAGTGTACATAAGGTTCGTTTGTATAAAGTTGATCCAAACCAAACTGGTTTCGCTCTGGTTTTTTGTCCGCTTTTTTTTTTTTCAAGGAGCCTCCCCCCCCGGTTGATGGGAGCCCTCCAAGGACGGGGGCTCCCTCCGAGCGCCCGCTGCTGCTTTCCCAGCAAACAGAAGCTGAGCTACGAATGTTAATAAAAGCGCTTCGAATCTGAAGGCTCCAAATACCATTTTTTGGGAGGTTTTTCAGGGAGCAGGGAGGCGCTCAGGAGTTTTCCAGGTTGGGAAGTGCTGAGTTAAAGTCCGCATCCCCTGTGCCCCGTTTTTGGGGGGCAGCTGGGGGTGGTCAGGGACAGGGGGTGGCACTGGGCGATGGGCACGGCTGCTGCCGGCTCACCCCGCGTCCCTCTTTGCCGTGCCGAGAGGGAACTGGGGGGGGATTTTATTCCTGGTTTGCAGAATCTCCCCCAAACCACCGTGGAGACCTGCCGCTTCCCTCCTGCTCCTCTTACTGGGAACCAGTAGAATCCCAGCTGTGCAAACAGGGAGGGAGGCTGGGCTGCCCCGGTGTCCCCTTTGGGGACGCGCTGTGAGTGAGGGCTGGTGGGGGACGGGACCCCCCCCAAGGCACCAGCGCCACGGGACCGACGCTTGCTGCCCCTGTGGAGACGGTGGCTTTCCCCATTGGTGTTAGGGGACTGGGGGGGCTTGAGCGACTCAAAGAGCCCCCCCAACGCGGGGCCTCGGGACGGTGATGGGGACAGTCCCTGGGGCTGAGCCACACCGGTCCCCGAGCCCCACTGCTCCCGGTGTCACCAGCATCATTTCACGGGTGGGCGTGCTGCAGAGGGTCCCCATTGCCCATCCTGGTGCTGTCCCCACCGAGCCGTGCTGGGGACAGGGGCCCTGACCTGATCCCATCCCCGATGGCCGTGGAGGGGCCCCCCCTGTGCTGCTCCCCCCAAAGCACCCAGCCCTCTGGGGGTGGCCCTGGGGACGGTCCCTCTGCACTCTCTGGGGACGTCCCCAGCCCCACGGGGTGTCGGGGCTCACCCAGCGTCCCCAGAGGTGTCCCCATGTCCCCCCGTCCCATGGCCAAGTCCACGCGGGGCCAACCTCGCACCTTGCACCCGTGGGGGTTTCCCCAAATCCCCACCATGGTCTGCACCCGCAGGCTCCCCATGCCCATCCCGTGCCCCCGATGTGCCAGCGTCGGGCGCAGCCGGACCCCCGGGCACCCCCGCTCGGCGCCT